ATTCTAAAGCCATTTCCTTTACACAAACCTGAGACAAAAAAGTCTAATCTTTCATATACCTATATGTAAAATCTAACTGCAAAAAAAGTCTAACCTCTCAACTAACTATATAATAAATCTATCTTTTACTAAATGTCTAACCTCTTGAACACATATCAAACATCAGGACCTTATCCCGAAATCTATTAACATATTGAATCATATAATAATCCTTAATATGAAGATGACAATGACCACAAGATGACCCAGTAGGCTTACCACATCCTGATTCCATGCAAAGCTGACGCTTTTTAGCCCTATTTCTTATAACTAAAAAAGGTAATTAAATAATAGGGTTATATGATTAATTAATTTAAATTGAGCAAAAGTTTACATACATATTAGACTTATTTTAGTATCATAGTTAGAAAAGATAAAAAAAATCGTAAATGTATTTACTGTAATAAGACTTTTGCCATACCTCAAAAACTTCGTCAACATTACAAAAGTAATAAAAATCAATGTAGATTAGCTCCTGATGATATACCAAAGTAAACTTCAGCTTCTGAGACTTCTAGTCAAAATGAAAAGCCAAAAGTGATTAACCAAACTCCTGATTCTGAAGCAGGTCCTAGTCCATCAACTCAAGCTTACAGAGAGGGATTAATTGGTAAGAAAGAACCTAGTAAAGTTGAGCGACAAGATGCGATTCCAAAAGGATCTGCTCAAGAACAAGCCTTCCACTCCACACTAAAGCCTTATGTGAATACAAAGCAATTCAAAACAATATTTGTAGATTCAAATGGTAAACATTTTATTACTAACGAAGAGGCTGAAAAATGGGATAAAGAGCATCATGATTTCAAAGAAGCTAGACTTCTGACATTAGCAGAGATAGAGGAAGAAATCAAAAAAATAGGTTGGAAAGAATAGAAAAGCTTCCATTAGCCGAAAGGCAAGAATATGAAGCACAAAAGGAATACACTTCTAAGGCGCATTTTCGGTCAATTTATGAAGAAAAAGATAGAACTTATTCTATAGGAGCATATTCCACAAAAATTGTACAAGAAGA